TGAGTTATTGCCTTTCATTAATTTTTACCGTGGTGACAAGAAACAGCACAAAATGTAAAAATTAACGTGAAACTTAATTCTTTGCATCTAGGGAGACTTAAATTAATACAAAACAGCTTACCACCTCTGATGCTTTAGTGGCTTATTGGAACCTTAAAATATATAAACTGGGTTACAACCCTAGGAACTCTACACGAAGTTATGACACAAATTGCATCTGACAAGCCAGAGCACAACTAACTTTCAAAACTTGCCAAGTGGCCCTAGAATAAGGTTTGTTTTCAGGTTTGTTTTTTCAGCAGGCCTCTCTCTAGGCAAGCAGTAGCAGTAAAAATAGTCAGTCTTCTGTAAGGAATCATGCTGATTATAATTTTGCTTCTCATTTTAACGTATGCCGTTTGACCTAAAATCTACCCGCTATTTACTAAACCTCTAAACTGAGCAAGTACGTGACAAAATGAGACATAAAAGAAAAATATCAGCATAAAGCTAAATTAATAAAATCATTAATCTTCTATCAAAATATGTCCAACTATTATAAAGGTAAAATATTTAATGCTACCTGATAAATTTAATAAAGTTTATCTTATTTTCAAATGTGATTTATAATTGTGTTTATTAAATTATGTTTAATAATAATGCATTCTACTTGTGGATCTATTTAATTCTTAGGATGGTGTCACTTAAGTGAAGTTCAGGCATGGCATCTTTAATTCAATTTATTCAGTTCCCATTTGTTGATGGGTCCTTAATTTTTTCCATTAATGGTCCTTAAAAGTACTTAATTTCCATGTGCAGAAATGTGTACGAACCCTGTGTAGCAAACAAGATATACTACTAGGCTCAAGCCGAAGTTACTTATTCTCCAGCTATCAGGAGTGCTGTCATTTTTTTATTGTAAACAAATTTAATGAACCAGTTTATATATTCAGTAAAAGCAAGATCATCGGGCATTCAACTAACCAGAATATTTAAGAATTTTTAAAAAAAAAAAACTTTCTTCCACTGAAAAATTTAGTAAATTGCCATTACACTGCTTTTAATATTAATAAATATACATTGTCACCAAGCAATGTGTTTTTAAGCCAGTAATGTCTAAGCATAACATCACAAAACAATCATCAAAAATTCATTTTGGTTTAATGCAAATTTGATTAATTTTTTATAAGGCATTTAAATTGTAATTTTAAAAGAAAGGATATATGTTAGATATTTCCTTGCATTTCGAAAAAAATAATTAATATTTGGGTAGTGAAATGTTTTCAAAGTTACAGGGTGTATACATCAGAAAAAGCCACCATATGCGACTTATATATAAACAGCAACCACCATATAAACAGTAGCGATGTTAAGTGAAAAATTATGATACACAATCCATTATTTGTTTCTTTAAACTTCTAACAGAATGGGTGGTGACATCACTACCAACTTTCAGGTTTGGCAGGATTTTATAACATCGGCTTTCACGACTGAAATATTCTCCCCCCACCCCTAAGAACTTATATAATTTTAAATGTAGGCTTTTGATATTCAAGTTGTTAACAAATAAGATGATTGTTTTTATATTTTTTTAGCAGAAATTTTCCAGTTTTTCCCATTGATTTGTTTTCTCTAATGTGAATTTTGTTTCTTATATCGTCCAACTTTCTGAAATTTTCCTACTTCCGGAATTCGGCATTTTCCCAGCTTTTACTGTATATATGTGATAGTTTGGCTGTGTCAATCACAATTATAATAGGTGTTGTAGCACATGCAGAAGATCTGTAATGAAGAATAAATTCGTAAATTATGTAGATGCAAGAAGACGTAGTCATTGCAGATTTACATTATATTTAATTTACACTCATGTCCAAAATTATTTTTACATATCCAAAAATGATGATATTCAATGAAATATCGAATCAATGTGATCTGTATTTGCAGGGAATGTGTGAAAACCAAGCCTAATTAGCATTATCTAATCAAAAGTAATCAAACGGTTTGTGATATGCAAATCTAGGCGTTACGTCATCCAAGGGTGAATCAAGCGCTTTGCGCAAACTGAATATTTGAGTGAATTTCTGCAACATAGCGTTTGATTTCAGTGTGTAGGGACTCAAAGCGGTTTGTTATGGCTTCGAAGTATCATTTGGAAGAATCTGTAAAGTGGCGAATTATCGGCTGTTTAGAAGCAGGGCAGTCAATCTTGGAAACAGCCACATGTCTGAATATTTCAAGACAGACAGTCTCTAAGCTATGGAAACAGTTTCAAAATGATGGAAGTGTTGTAAGGAGGCCTGGACAAGGTCGGAAACGAATGACAACTGCTTTTGAAGATCAGTATCTTCTGTTACGACGGGCATTAACTGCCCGTCGTAACAGAAAGGCACTGCTCGCCAGTTAAGTTTAGAGCTTGCAGCCGCCACTGGAACTGTTGCATCACGGCAAACAATATACAGAAGGCTTAATGAAAAAGGCCTTTATGCCAGAAAGCCAAGGGTATGTGTTTTACTGTCTTCACAGAAAAAGAGGGATCGCTTTAATTGGTGTAAAGAACATCAAAACTGGACTGAACATCAATGGTCCCATGTTCTCTTTACTGATGAGTCGCGGTTTAGTTTAACTGGTGATTCTAAACATGTTTACATCTGGAGGGAGTCAGGAACACGAAATGATTCTTCGAACATTGTGGAACGTGACCGTTTCGGTAGTGGAGGTGTTATGGTATGGGGTGGAATAATGATCGATGGACGTACGCCCCTACACGTGTTCAGCAGCGGATCTGTGACAGGCCAGATATATCGAGATGAGGTCTTAGATCCTTATGTAAGACTTTTCAGGGGTGCATATGGACCTGACTTTTATTTATGGATGATAATGCCCGTCCACATCGAGCAAACCTCGTTGATGAATTCCTTGAAAGTGAAGACATTAAGCGAATACCTTGGCCACCAAACTCTCCTGACCTTAACCCGATAGAGAACTTATGGGACTACCTTGGAAGAGCAATTGCACGTATACATCCTCCTCCTAGAGATGTAAATGCTCTGAAGACGGGCATTGCTGGAAGAGTGGAGATTAATTCCCCAAACTGTGGTTAACAACGTTATTTCCAGCCTTTAAAACACGTTGTGATATGTGTGTACAAGTCAGGGGAGATCATATTCCATATTAAATTCGTAAAACTTAATTTTTTTTCTGAATCATTCCTGTTTTTCTTAACTCTCTTTGTCACACTTTATTACCATTTTTATTGTTTCATGCTACAATTTTATATCATATGAGGTGATCTTCAATTTTTTCTTTTGCATTTATGTGTCATCATGTTATGTATGATTCCACGAAAATTCATTAAATTATAAGTCATAGTCTCTGAGAAATCCATGAATTTATGCATGTAAACATAATTTTGGACATGAGTGTATTTTAATATTTTGTGGCCACAATTCACTTAGTTCTCTAATCATGCCTGTTTTAGAACATAGCATTTATAGTATTGATACTATTGCTGTAGGAAGAAAGCAGTGTGATCGTGGCAATAGAAATGAAGTGTGATGTGTTCAGGGTAAAGTATTCAGTTTGAATGACTTTCAATTTCAGTGCCATTTGACTGGATAATTAATAATGCTCTAAAATTAGTATTGGCTCTATTTATGTCACCAGCATTATGTAAAAGTTATGTGGTATAGTTTAACCTGGAAGTGAATCCAGGAAAGGCTATTAGAATACAGATATATAGAATTTAAAATGCATATATAAAATTTAATGAAGTTACAGAGAATATAAAAGAAATTATCTCTTAGGAAATTTGGAATGCAAATGTGCATTATTGTGTTAAGAATAATTGCCAGTTTAGAAAGCTAGTGTGCTTTCTTGTGGTAATGAGTATGTATAAACAAATACACTGGAACTCTTTGACTTATCAAAGAGAAGTAACCCTCCCCCAAAACATTCGTAATAATTTGTGCTTTTAAATTCCATAATTTGAAAGTGTAAAATGTAGCAATGTGAAACATTTTCTGCAACTGCTTCAAGTTCATTTAATTTCTGAAATGTTCTGGTTTTTCATTGTCATCAAATTGATGCATTATTGTTGATTGATGTAAGTAAAATTGTTTGATGCTGTTGCTTAACTCTTTGTAATTTTAGTTCAACAGCTCTTAAGCATTTGCTTAGTCTACTTCATTGAAACCTAACTGATGTCTAATATCATCAATAACTGTATGCTCAAAAGAGCCTAGACAGGCATATTTGGAAAAAAAAAAAAAAAAAAAAAAAGGAGTATCATCAATAACTGGCCAGATAGTGGCTACACCTAGCTTAAGCAGTTACACAATGACTCAAGAGTTTTTTTCTCTACAGCAGTCATATTCTGTAACTAAGGAATATTTTCATTTGCTTTTTTTGCATGAAATTTTCCACCAAAATCTGAGTTTTTGCTTTTAGTACCATATATTGTTTGTTCAAAAGTCAATTGTAGATAATCAGCCTAAAACATATAAAGATTCTTAAAATCCATATGTTGCAAAATAAATATCATGTTATGATATAAAAATTAACAATTTTAACATTTATTTGCAAATCAATTATGGCAGGAGAATGATCAGAGTTGTAACCTAAAAGTAATGAAATTTAATAAAAGCTCAGAACTATTTTTCCCCCAATACATTTTATCAGTCAAAAAAGGGAAGAGGAAAAAAACTGTCTGAAACTTAAAAGATGAAGACTTTCTTTGAGATAAAGCTAATAAATTGGAAAACATATGTTCTTCAGTTATAAATGTAATTTCTGAAAAATAACTCTCGATGCTGTGTAAAATAAAATTCACGCCATGTGTGAAACAGGGGGGTTCACTCATAAACCATCTTAAAAAACATGCTAATTGAAACACTATTGAGTGAAGGATTTTTGCTCTTTAATCAAAATTTCATCCCTATTCTTGTGACAGTTCCGGTAAGGTGCTAGGGCATTATGATTTTTTGTTTTAAAAAAAATTCCATTTTTAATCTGTTTGTATAGCTAATGAAAAACTGTTTGATTGTAGGATGATTTTTACTGGCTCAATTACTCCAGAAACTTCTCCAGATATGTATAATAAAAGCATATATCAACTGATGGAACATTACAATTCATCTTACTCTTTAGAACCATTATTTGTCAATACCATGGGTTGGATAACAGGTAATAACAGATTTATTATTTATTTCTTTGAATATGTTATAGCTTTTATTACTTTGTTCTTTATTTGTTGAGGTAAAACTTTGATCTGAAATATTGTGACAAATTCTTTGATTTTTTTTTTTTTTTTTTTAATAGGCATAGGGGCTGAATGTTTGCAGAATTTAATAAAAGCTGTAGAGCCAACTTTTCTGATTAATCTAATTCAAGTCAAAAGAGCTAGATTTGATTGCAGACAATTCTTAAATGAAAATGTGAAATATATTGAAATTAACATTCTAAAACCTCATGAGTAAGATTTTTGTAATCTTCTTTTTTATATTTACAAAAGATGTGTATTCTATGCATGTACTACCTACATTACATGTTAGCCCGTTAACCAAAAAATTGTCATCAATTGATATGGATAAGCATTCCGTTACAAAATTACTTTAACAATCTGTGTATGCTAAAATAATATATTTTTCATAATTTTTATTTCTTGATACTGCATTATAAATAGATCTACCAAATCACATGCATAGGAATATGTTATATAAAGCATATTTTTTATCCTCCTGTATCTAATGAGAATGAGAGCTGAACATGCTAAATTTTCTATTTTGAGATATTGTTATGTAGGGTAAGTTGAAGCAAAAGAATTGTTCATTAAAAAAATAAAATAATTTTTTCCCAGGTTATGTAATATGTGACAAAGAAACATCTTTCCAGTGATGTTGTGTTCTATCAGTTGTATATAATACAAGTTAACGGTATTTACATCAATAAGTATATTACAGTCAAAAGTCTTTAATCCGGACCTCAAAGCTACAAACTTTCTGCGCATGCGCATAATACGTTTACGCATGCACATTTAATGTATAAAGGACGGTATAAGCTAAGCTAAAATTATCTATTTCAGTTAATGTTGCAGATTGCGTTGTTCCTTAATCTTCGAATTGGATACGGCATATTATTTTTTGCTTATATAAAAGTAAGCTTGAACTTTCGATTAAGTCAAATAGAATTTCCGATTCTGGAGCTGCCAAACGATCTGCAAAGCGAAAGCATGTTTCGATGTCCATTAAACAAAAAGTGGAATTGCTGCAAAATATGGACAAAGGCATGAAGAAAGTGACAGAGAGGGGATTTGTTTCTCTAACCATTCCGAAATCTGTTTATCAATTTCACGCTGCTCTGCGGGGAGGACTTTGCGGCGCGCAATTAACGGGAAGTTTGATCTTTTAGCACTATCCTCATCTTCAACGCAGATTTTTTTATTTTATTCGGCTTATGATTCTTTACTAAATGTAGTATTTCATCTCGATGTACTCCGTCTTTGATGATTAAATCGAATTCCTCGTCATTATAAAATCACGAATACACATAAATAGTTTTTTGGTTGCTTTCTAATTTCGACTATGCGTAATGTATGCTTACGACCACGTTAAAGAATGTTAATAAAAAACATAAAATTAAGCTTTTTTTTTTTTTTTTTTTTTTTTTTTTTTTTTTTTTTTTAATTTGATACTCTTTAGATCATAATTGCTCTTTATTTTATAAATTACGGCTTCATAATTTTAATGTTATAATTTCTGCATGCCGTCTTACCAGATTTAAACTGATGATCTGTAATCCGGAAAAACCGTTAATCCGGAATCGCAAAAGTCCTGACGAGTCCGGATTAAAGACTTTTGACTGTATTGAAAAAGTAGTTTAAATATTTTTATCAGCGGCTGTCAACATTTTTTGCTCAATGCAGCCTTTCGTAATCCCCCCCACACACACATACGCATCTTCCCAAACTAGGAAAATACATATACATTGATTTTAATGTAGTTTATTTTTAATATGTTTTTATAAATTAAACAACAAAAAGGTATAGAAAATATTGATAAATACCAACTTTTGTAGCCAAAGTCACTTTATATTCCAACCAAAAGTAGCTTTTTACATTTATAAACTAAAAGTAAATACTTAACAGCTAAATAAAAGTCTGCATCCTCCCTCTTTGAAAGTATGAAATTCACTCTGCAGAGGGGAATTTTCCCTAATTGAGAACCTGTGATTTATGTTGTTAAAAAGTGCATTTTTTTTAGTTTTAAATTGGTCAGTTTATTAAGCAGCTGAAATTTTAAAGCTAAAACTCTCATGTTATGCCAGATAGCAACATACTTGAAAATAGCTTGTTGGAAACAACAGTTATGAATTCTGTTGTTTTAATAAAATTATATGTTATATTCAGTGGCAAAACTTGCTAAATTGTTTGATTAAAAGTGGCAGAGCAGCGTAATGTAAAATAACATCACAGCCAAAAAATTCTGCCAAAGGGATTTGTGTCAAAATTTCTAATAAGTTGAAAATAATTTAAATCAGTTTCTTTTGTTTTAAATTTAAATGACTTATTAGTCAGGTTTTCCTGTATCCTAGAAAATAATATATGTTACTATGGCATATTTTATTGTGAGCAGTTAAGTGTAAATAAATTATTTCTTTTAACTTTTAGGAATGTGGGAGGCTTTACTGCTTTTGAAATGAGACATCTTGCCATGTTAGCATATCTTGGACGTTGTCAGAGCCCATTTCTGAGGCCTCTTTACTTAAATGAGATGCAGCCATACTGGTAATTTTTTTTTTTTTTAATTTTTGTTTAAGAAATATTTAAAAGATTCTATATTTAAAATACTTCTTGCAAAGGTACTTACTTGTAAATGCAGTGAATTTTCTTAATATGAAGTATTATTATTAAATCCCGATTTATATAGTTTTGAGTTTTGTATCAGTTTAGAACTTCTCATATTTTCGTGTCAACAATGAATTCTTACTCTAAATCACTTCTGTGAAATTTCTGAAGAATTTTAAAATTATGTTTCTGTAAGAATATTAAAAAGTTTTCAATTACCTCCACAATTCTTTAAAAATATTCATTGCATTGAATGCTTACTATTCATATGTAAGCTCAGAGGCAAATTTCCTATACATTTAAATTTCTTATTTTTTGAGCAGCAGTAAATCTTTTTGAAGTAATTAATGGAAAATCAGTTTTCATTCCTACCGATAAATATTTTTAAGAGAAACATGAATGTTTTACCATATGAAATAAAAACTGCCAGCTTTGAGTTTATAATCTGTTGTAATGACAAACACAGTGTAGTAAAAAGGAAAAAAGTTATAACTTAATAATTTGGCAAACTTATGAAATAATGTCATAACATCAAAGGGTCATGCTACTTTCAAAAGAAAATTTTTTTTCCAAATTAAATTGTAGCTAATCATTATATTTTTAATTAAATAAATAACAGTCCTTTCAGCTTCTAACTGAGCATATTTGATAAACATTTTTTGGTTATTGTTCTGCCTTCCTGGAAGTGTTCCTTGGAAATACCTGTAATATGATATTTAATCAGTTGACTACTAGATCATCAGATTAGTCTGCTTCTTCTGTTGCTCACAATTTGAAAAATTGTCATATAATCAGTAGCATGCAAAAGTGCCTTCATATTGAAACCACTTTACCTGTGCATCCAAGTAGGCATATTTGGTGTGGCCAGACCTTGCTAACTAAGCTTCCACTTAACTGCAAAGGAACTGCTCTTTTATTGCTAAGGATGGAATTCTGAGGAAAAACATCCTAGGGTGTGTTCCAAGAGTCTGGTACCCATCTTCCTGTACCACCAACCTCTTGAAAAAATTTTAACTCATATTTTATGTTTACTTATTATTTATTTACTCATATTTTATGTGCCTTATTACTACACAAACATTATACTGTGCAAATATCCATGTCTTCTCCAGAATTTAAACCCCGGCCCTTTGGTTCAGCAGTCAGGAACACTAACCACTTTACCATCTGGGGGTATCACTGTGTGTACATGCTTGAAATTATTAATGTGCAGAAATTCCATACTTTGGTGTGTAATATGAATTCTGAGCTCTAATCACAGAGAAGTGGCACGGCCACATTTATCCAGTCATGAAATTTGTTTTTGGTGTGAAAATATTTTGCTGTTATATTTTCTTTAATGATCTGGATATCAAGAAAACAAACATTCAAGTAAATCAATATGAAAATCGTAGTAATAAATGCTATATCAGTCAACATTTGCCCAGCACTTCATGAGAAAAACTCATAAAACATCAGTGTTCATACATTTAAATATGTTTAAGTGCAGAAGAGATGTTAAGAATGATTAACATAATTGAAGAAGTTTCAAAAGTACAGTAGAATATTCTCAAATATGAGGAAATGTTTTTAAAAAGTTGCATAAGAAATAAATGTTTGTAATATAGTCTTTATGATATATTTGTAAGTAAATTGTTATATCAGTTGTGGAAATTAATTTTTAATACAATTTTGAATATAATCATAAACTTTTTTAGTGTATGTTGGGACAAAATTGCAGTGTATGTTTTTAACAGAAGATTACCACCCTATAGACTGCTAGAAGCATTAAATGGAAGTATTGTAGCCCTGTGTAATGTTGATGAGTCTCTTGTAAGTGGCAGAGCCAAAAGTTTCTATGATTTTCTTTGTTATTATTTCAATACTAGTTACATACTGGAAAAAAGTTTATTGTTTAATAATGTATGTTATTTAATCTAGTCATTTATTTCAATCTGAAGTGCTGTGATTTTTATGTGTTTATTTTTTAGTATTAATTTTTTTCTTATATTAATTCTAAATAATTTTTTGTAGATTTTGGAAAGTGATATACCTGGTTTCCAGAAGACTTTAAAAAATGAACCAGAGAATGATTGTTTAGGATTTGGTAAATTATTTTGTCTTATATGTTCTTCTGATTTTAAATTAAAATGTCTTAAAGCTGTAGAAATCTTTCCTCATCCACAACATTCCTTACATTTTATTTTCTTTATATGAAAATAGACTTGAATGAAGTTATTCATTTTTGCTTTAAATTTTTCTCCTTTGTTGTGATATTCATTTTATTTCATTTGTCATCTTAAAATAATCCCGTAACAGCACAAATGCAATCAGTCAGGTTTAGATATAATCTAACTATAATGGTATAGTAGGCAGAGCTTGATATGGTCATCTTTATTCATGGCTATTAAATGATGAGGGAAAAAATATCCTTCAAAGCAGCAGTGGAATTTAATTAATTTAATATAAAATAACAAGAATGTGTACATAGGTTATTTTTACAGCATTTTAATGGGAAAATGTAAAAGATTATATTTGAGCTGTTCATAATGTTTCTGTAAATGATTTGACCAGTACAATACCCCTAATCTTAATATTCAGAAAGCATATCTCATTAGAAGAAAACATGTAAAATTGTAAATTAAACAAAAAAAGCAACCTTAGTTTGCCGTAGATGTTAATAGGAATTTTTTCCTCTTTTCTGAAATTCCTCCACTCCCTTTTGGAGAAGACATATGTTTTGTCACTATCAGTTCTGATAGTAGTTATTCAGAATATACATTAAACTAAGGTTGCTTTTTTTCTTAATGTTAAATGGATGACAGAAATCAAAACCAAGCTTTTGGGAATTTCAACCTTATTTGGTGAATTTGTCTCTTATATGACAACTTAAGTTTAAAAAACAAATGTTCTATAATACTTCTGTCATATTAACCAAATTGTTGATCACAATAAGCGTGTTTGTATACAAATGGGCTGGAGCTTAGGCAAATTGATGATAATATCAGAATAATATTAATCTTGGTCACATTAAATGGCATCTACTGTAGTATTAAATAAAAGTAAAAGTGACTGCTTAATATTTGAATAGCAATTGAAATTAAGAACAATGTTTTATAGCTCAAAATATTTAATGTAGATAAAATATTCATTTTGCATGTCAGACAAAAGAGAAATTGGTGAAAAGAAATATTTATTCTTGGGTTAAATATGGTTAAATATTAGTACAATGAAAGCTCAGATCATGAGCAAATTATCTGAACAAAAAAGGGCTCCAGATGTCAAATGGTGCGTTGAGTTACAAACATTCATGTTAACAGCATATGATTTTCAGAGGTGTTTTGAAGCAACATGGACAATGTAATTAATACTCAGGGACATCTGGAAACATCATTATTTGTGATATTATGTTTCTAGGCAAAACCATGGGCTAGGATGTAAACAATGAAGATGTAGAGAAGTTCCTAAAAACCATAAAAATGAACTCAGTACAAAAGAAGTACAGAAAATAACAAAAAGGCAATTGGGAATGTGAACAATGAAAATGTAAGTTCCTAGAGAGCCATAAAAATGAACTCAGCACAAAAGAAGTACAGAAACAACAACAAAAGGCAATTGGGGAAGAAATGTCGTCAGAGAAAGTTGAAGAAAGAAAGTGATAGTTCTCTAACCTGCAAAATCTGTGCAAAGTGGGATAATATACAATGTTTTCACATAACTGTTTCACCCTGGCAAAATAGTAGCAAGCTGTAGCATAAGCATTTTTAATCATAATGCCCGTGTCTCACTTTAGAACAGTGTTTCCCAAAGTGTGATACGCGTACCTCCAGGGGTGTGGGAAGAGTTTGCTGTGGATATGCACTGTACCGTCTTAGCTGTGCCTAATTTTATGTTCTCATGAGTCAAAACAGTCTTGTGAGGCGTGAAATGGTCCGGTGTGACAAGGTGGGAATATACCAAACTTTGTTAGAGAGACAACTAATAATTAATAGGTCATGGCTTCTCCAGGCGCCTGTGTATTTTTAGCTTTTGTGCGATATTTCTTTTAGGAAATGTGTCTTATGTGCTGATTTTGATTGTTTTTATAAAATATAATTTTTATCCCTAACATAGGTTATGGATCGCTGGTTGAAATCTGGAACTACTACACCGAAAGAAAGTTATGATTATAGTAGCAATCAACTAACAGGAAATAATGAAATTAACGACGAATCAACTTCGATTCTGAAAGAACATGAAACCATCCAACTTAAAGTGCCATTTTGAGACAAACCATAATCAGTACAAAGATAAACCCATAGACTTTTTTTTAAAGTAAACTTAAGGATTGAAGTCAGTCTTGAAAAGTAATGTGGGGTTTGACAGGAGGTGACAATCAAAAAATACTAGACACTTCATATCGCGTGTCGCTTTTAATTGCAAAATGTAGTGCAGCAGAAATCATCTCAATTTTTATTCAAGCCTGCAGCTAAGATAATGGCAGAAGTATTGATAGGAGATAGAGCGAGGTAAACTTTACACTGCCTTTCTCTCTCAAATAATACAGTTCATCAAAGAATCATTGATATGTCCAATAATGTGAAACAGATATTTTTATCTGAGTTTCTCAAAGTCGTTATTATACATTGCAATTCGGTGAGTCTACTGATATTGAGAATTTTTCAAATCTTTTGATGTTTGTTAGATACAAAAAAAAAAATGAAGAAATTCATGACAACGTTTTATTTTGCCAGCCTTTAAAAAGTCACACAACAGGAAAAGATCTCTTTAATGTTATAAATAAATTTATGCAAGAGAACAAAATTGATTGGAATAAATGTATTGGAATAAGCACAGATGGAGCAAAAAGTGTGGACGGAATTAATAAAGGACTCATTGCAAGAATTTAAAATGTTGCCCCAAATGTAATATTGCATACTCGGAGAGTCTTTAGCAACACATAAGATGTCCGTTGATCTCCAGAAAGTTCTGGATGAAAGCTTGAAAATCGTTAACTACATTAAAAACTGTCCTTTGAATAGACAACTTTTTCACAAATATGTGAAGAAATCAGTAGTATTCATACCCAGCTTCTTTTTCATACCAATGTTCGTTGGCTGACTCGAGGAAAAATTCTAAGTCGATTGTTTGAACTTACACATGAACTTCAATGTTTTCTTAATGATAGATTTGAGTTGAGAAATTGTTTAGATGACTGGGAATGGCTTTTTAAACTAGCATACTTAGCACATGTATTCTCTGCTTAAATTGCCTCAACTTATCTTTACAAGGCAAGAAATTTCATTGTTTCACGTTCAAGATAAAGTGGATGCTGCCATACCAAAACTAAATTTATGGCAATGGAGTAGACTCGTTTCCCTATCTTTATGAGTTTATAACAAGTTTGACTACTAAAATTAATACTTATACTCTGAAATGCATAACACAGCATCAGCATTTGGAGAGTTTGCAAGTGGGCTTGAAAAACTATTTCTCTGATTTAAATAAAAATATTGAAAGGATAAGATATCTATTTAGCATTAACACAACATCCATGCGAGAAGATTTGTCACATGCGGAAGAAGAACAATTGTTGGAATTGGCTTCAGATGGATTCTTAAAAAAATAAACATATAGCATTTGTAGATACAAGTTGATACAAGATACAAGTTTTCAACAAGTTGAAAAAGAGTAACAGACTACTGGATGTGGAACCGTATCTCAGATTAAATTTAACAACTAGGGAACCAAATTATGATAAACTATCATCTGAGCACAAACAGTTTCATCTTTATCATTAATCCAAATGAATGTTATTTATAATATAATTTTTATTTATGTTTTATTATGAATAATTTGATTTCTCTTTCTTATTACTTTGTGTATGTCATAAAAAAAGAAAGAAAAACAAAATATATTTTGATTGTTATTAAAATACATCCCCCTTTTTTTTAACGAGGGGTACTCAGCGTTGCAAAAATTATAGAAGGGGTACACATATGTCAAAAGTTTGGGAAACACTGCTATAGAAACATGGAAAACATTGGCAGTTGCAAATAGCATTGGACAAACTTTTAGTTAAACAGAGGCCCAATGAGTCTGAAGCTGAATGAAGTAGCACTTAGAGGCAAAGAAATGATAAAAGATGATGCCCCCCTCCCAAAGACCATATTTTTTTATGGAAAGGAATTTTGCAACCAGGCAATTACATCTTCCTCATCATTTTTCATTTATGCCGCCCACTATCCTTTGTACAAGAGTAAATAAATCAACTTAGGTTTTTGTCTATTTTATCTGTTTATCTTTTTTGTTTTCTTTTTAATGATTTTCGTGGTTTGTGTGTTAAGAACATGTACACAAAGTACTATTATAAAATTTAAATAAGCAATCATCTGTTGTACAGGAATGAAATAAGTCCATTCTACATTAATTCACATGCAGAAAATTGTTTTGATTTATAAAAATTTCAATTAACAAAGAGCCTTCAGGAACGAATTCATGAACCAAGATTTCTGTGTATTAATAAAATCATTTCTGAAAATGATTTGGATCTGTATAATTGTGTATATTTATGTTCTGTCATTCATTTTTAGGGGTTGTCCGTGCTGTGGATGAAACAAATCATTTATTGTTTATTATCACTCCTTTACCTTTGAAAGAACTGAAAAATGTCAATGCAATAATGAAAGGAAACATCTTACTTCCACAAGAAGTTCTGCTTGAGCAGGTTTGTGATTTTCTATAATCATAATTATGCAATATATATGTGAATTGTCTTGAATAAGAAATATAGAAGTAGGGGTTTATGTGGCAGTATAAAAAAAGTTTGTCACTGTTTGAGGATTTAATATTTAATTTTATATTTAAAAAGTTCATACAAAGTTTAAAAAAAAACCAATATTTTCCAGAGTTCTTGGGGGGGACTTACTCTCAGTGCAGTTGTTAATTATATGTGGAATAGTTTCAGTAGCACTGAAGGTAATGCTTCTTTATCCTTTATAAGAAAAAGTAAATTCTGTAATTTCACTTCCAAAATACTTGTCGGTAACCAAAATACCCAGAGTAAGAGACTACAGAAATCCATTTTTTGGGGTTTAATCTGAATTAACTGGGACTGAGAACATAAGGAAGTAGCAATCCAAGGGAGATATCAAGTTTTTTCTGCACACAACAGGGTTAGCACACGCAATCAATACTCAACCAATCAAACAAATGGAATCCAACATCTTCGGCAATGTAATGAGTTTAGTAAACTTAAGGGTGGATTGTTGAAATAATAATTGGTGTTTCATTGCTGAAAAATGAATCAGCATCTTATATGTGATAATTACCTGATTTTTTTAAGAGACAGCTGAATGAAATTTTAGTCAAAATTATAATTATCTGTTGACTTTATGTATAATTTAATAATCACAAATTTTAGTTGATATAGTATCTTCTACTAGTTAAAGAAAGTTCAAATTATCTGAATTTAAAATTTATTTATCATGTAATAATCCACTTATTGTAAGCATATGGCTTGTACTCATACATGTCAGATAGTAACTAGTAGTAGTGCTATGACACCTTTATGTATGTTATGTTAGATTTTGAGGTGTTTGGGTTGTAACTTTACAGCTAGTTAAATTAGTTCTGCAATTAGGCACCAATAAAAGTTATTATAAAATATCAATGTTCATGCAGACATGAACACTGGATGAAATCCAGTTTAAATTTGTGTGTCTACTTAAGTTCTTAACAGAAAAGTTAATATGTCATGCATTTAACACAGTTCAGACATTTGAGTACACTATCCTTTATTTAGCACAGTTTTATTAAAGAATCATAAGTTTGAATAACTATGAAATCTTTATTTAATGAGTTAGCGTGTTTGCCTAACTTAAATAGAACACAAATAGAATACAAATCAAAGTTAACAGTCTTTACACACATTTAAATCAAAGTTTTGAAATAAAGAACTTTAAAAAGATTCATTTTTGAGTTTTAAATAGTTTCAGGCTTACCAGTTAGGCAATATTATCAGGAGTAGAGTATATGCCATAAAATGAAGGTAACATGCTGAAAAGAATGAAGCACAGGTATAATGCAAGTAACAAAATCTTAAGACTTTTGCATCTGAACATACATAGATTCCCCTCTCACCAATATATATTTTTCGGCCCTCGTTCGTTTTTGACGCTGCCAAGTTTCATTATGCATAAGTGACACAAATTTATTCTAACAAAATTACAATGCAGATAAGAATCTACTTGACTATGTATCAGAAGAGAATTTAAATATCGAGTAATTCACAGTTCAACTGTATTAACCCTTTCAGGATGGGCGTCCCATATACGCATTCCCTAAGAACGTCTCTTACAGCCCGGGTGTCCCATTCACACATCGCTAGAGCTTGCATTCAGAGGATGGGTGATGCGTATATGCATTTTAAGCTGGAAAGTTTTTCTGAAGGCCACTAGATGGCATCCTATGTGCTCTACTTTTGAAATGAACACAGTTTTAGGTTTATGACCTTGAATTTGATATATTCTGCCTGACTTTGGTATTTTACTTATCAACTGTTCCGAGAGTGGGGAGGAAAGCGTAAACAGAGGTGGGCTTTTTAAATGGCGGCGTGCTAGTGCTAATATAAACATTCGCGTGTATGATTTATATCCAATTACATTTTTTATTCTATTTTTTCCCTCTACTATGTACGGTCTTTTAGATTTACTATGTGGAGTTTTGTTACGTTTTGCATCTCTTTCAGATATATTCCTGTTTCTTCTCTTTTTATTTCGGAAAGCCTCACCTCCAGTCTATTATAGTGGAAAGGCGCTATTTATCAGAGGAAGAATACCCTCATATAGTTAATTAACCATTTACTAATGCAGATGAGAGTGATGATTCATTTTCTAAAGAGTTAAAAAGTTAACTTTTTCTAAAAGTTAGAAGGTGATACTTCTCCGTGCTTCGAGATTTACGACACTCAATCTTCATTTTAAATTTTGTTACTTCTTACTGTAAATAGTCTTTATTGTGTTGTTTTATTAATTTTAAACTTTATTGATGGATTTATCAATTAAAACTTTGGAATAATTTGATTAGTGCTTCCAAAAATTATTTTACGAGATAAGCAATTTTTTAAGTATATTTTCATGTAAAATAAAGAAAAAAGTTAATGATACCAAAAATTATGATGCTAGACGTATAAAATTATGCTTAGTGATGCAAAACCTCCGGTCTGTATGGTGATCGCCTTCGAATCCCTTCCGTTTCGCATGAGCGTCTTAAACAAAGGTGCACTGTCATGAAAGGGTTAAGAGGAACTACAAATCTATATCTAATATTAAAACATTAAACTTTCAACTGCAGCTTATCTTTTTGGGGCCAGTACTGATGTGAAAGCTTATATAATGGCCGGGATTAAACAGCAAACATTCACCAACAGCTGTTTCACTTCAGACATGGCTATATGGTTTCATTCACTTGCTGTGTCAGATAAACCTAGCCACAACTCCTCAGATAACTTCTGCTGTTCACTTGCTGTGTCAGATAAACCTAGCCACAACTCCTCAGATAACTTCTGCTGTACAGAATAAACTCTATGATACTCCTACACTTGTCTCATAAAAATCTATATAATGCCGAAGATGCAAATTAGAACCAATGTGTTAGTTAAATAAACTAAATTGTCTCAATGATTACCAACATGCCTCATCCCTCCTTATGCACTTACAAACATCATATTGCTATGGAAGTCAGTTTAAATGAAATTTTTGGTTTGAATTTATGCTGGTGATATCACTGTTGTAGATTCAAAGGCTGAGAAACTAAAAGTTAAAAAAAAAAAAAAAGTGGGGATTTTGTGAGGCATATAGTAGTGCTGAACATTTTAAACAAATCATTACTAGTGCCTAGAAGTGGTGTTTTGCCAATAGCCCCAAAACAAACTGATAATAATCTGTTTATGTAAAAGAAAATTCTTTTAAACCGTGCAAACTTTCTTTTTGAAAATTAGATAAAGAATAAGGGAGGGAAATTTATTCTTGAAGCAGAAGACACTAAATTCCATGACATGCAAAATATACCCATTTCTTAAAAAGAATTCATTGCATTTATTCACTGAAGAAGTGGTGGCCCCCCCCTCTTCCCATAATGCACACTTTTGCCAAGCTTTTGATTCTTCCTTACGTGCTAAGTTTTACATCTTGTGGACTACTACTGTCTGGGATGACATTTTACATTAAAAAAGACAATTTTGATAAAATATCAAAAATTCAGAACAACTGAACAAGGGAATACAAAACTATTACTTTTGTGAAAGTATCTAGAAGCTTTATTATGAACTTACTTAGAAGAACGTAGCATTAGAATAAATGTATATAAAAGGTGATAAAATTACGTTTGTTTATCCCCCCCCTTCCAGAAAAATTCAGTTCTTAAACTTTCTTAATTTATTCTTTATATAAGCCATCTGGTCCGTTTGAAATGTTGCAAGTGGAAATTTTCCTCTGTAAGTTTTGCAGTTATAGCTGCATTTGCCAGACTATACATTATCTCCATTACTGGTGTCAAAATCATGTTACATGTGTGATGAATGCACGATCTGAAAACATCTGATAGCTCAGAATTTTTTTTTTAATTGAAAAATTTTTTATAAAAAAATTTTAACTAAATTTAAAACTTTTATGCTACATATTGTCAGAACTTATATAAAGAGTAATAATAATGATGAAAAAAAAATGTTTTTTAATTTAAAATTCTGCTAGGAAACTTTGGTATCTGCAAAAAATTTCTGTTGATATTTACACTTTGTAATTCAAATGTATTGAGAGCTATATATTAAATTTTCAAACTTTAATTTATTCAATTAATTCTAATATGTTGAAGTAATCACCAAATTACTTATTTTAAGCTAAAAAGAATAAATGAATTAGAAAAGGCCTCTGATTGGGAGGGAGGGAATTTGAGAATAAATAATGCCAACCTAGTCTCTTTCTTTTATTTATTCCATTTTTATGATGCATACATAAAAAATGCATACTTGTACATAAATAGTTGTAAATTTCTTTATTTCTTACTACATTCAGCTTCAATACCTCAAAATTGCAAGTTTGTTACCTTGGAGAAAAAGAACTAGACAATATTGTAGTTATTCATTGATATTCTGGTACTCTTTTTAGATGTATCAATTTTCAACTATGGGGAAAAAACTGCTTCCAGTGTACTCCTAAACAAAGAGATTATTCTTATTACAAAAATTTGTAACTGAGGGGTATTTGTCTTTTGATAGGCATGAATAAAGTTAATCAAATCTGTATCTTCAGATCTTTGAATAAGATTTATATCACCGTGTAAAAATTAATTAGCTCCAATTATTTCTAGATTTTCTAGGAAAATTTGTTTTGTTAGTTGTGTTTGTTTTTTAGTAATGAAAATAATGTAAAATTGGACTACCAATCATTAAGATATTTTTTTTTCTTTAACTGCTTGTCATAATGCTAGATAATTTATGAGAAATGTATTTCACAGGCCATGTAAAATTGCTTCATGGGCTACCAGTTTGAGACCACTAATCTACAGCAAAGTTCCAATTAATTTTAATAAATGTTGCTTGTGTGGCTGTTATTATTATACATTGCTGAATATAAGCTGAGACATTATGAGACAGTATTTTTATAAAGATCATGGATATGTACAAGACCTGTCGCTGGGCTGCTTCTTTTAACATTGTCATTGGCAGAGCTGGATTAACCATTAAGCAATATAAGCACATGCTTAGAACATCAAAGAAAGGGGGCAATGAAAAATTTCCTATTGGTAAGTTTTACTGTGATTGCATGGTGCAGCTAAACCACTACCAAGAGCGAGAAGAAATGAAGAGAAAATTGGCATAAACATATGTGGGGGCACCAAAATATTTTAAGTGCTTAGGTTCTCTAAAAGTCTTAATCCGCTTTAGTTGTCAACAGAGGTTTATCTCACTATAATCACATATTAAAGGTGCTATAATCAGAGATCATTGGGTTTCAGATATAGAATTGGAAGTACAGTCAAAAGTCTTTAATCCGGATGTCCATAATCCGTAATTATCTATAATACGGACCTCAAAGCTACAAACTTTCTGCGCATGCGTAAACACATAATGTGTTTACGTATGCGCGTAATACCTTTACGCATGTGCGTTTAATGTGTGACGAACGGTATAACCTGAGCTAAATTTATCTATTTCAATTAATGTAGCAGATTGTGTTGTTCCTTAATCTTCTAATCGAATCCAGCTTATTATTTTTTGCAGACTGTTAGAGCAATTCTATAAAAGTAAGCTTGAACTTTTGATTATGTCAAAAAGAATTTCCGATTCTGGAGCTGCCAAATTGCTGCAAAAAATGGATAAAGGCATATCATTTGTTTCTCTAACCGTTCCGAAATCTGTTTATCAATTTCACGCTGCTCTGTGGGGAGGGGGGGAATGTCGCGGCGCGCAATGAACTGGAAGTTTAATCTGTCAGCACTATCCTTATCTTCAGCGCAGATGTTTTTATTTTATTCGCCTTATAATTCCTTGGTAAATGCAGAATTTCATCTCGACATACTCCACCTTTGATATGATTTAAATCAAATTCCTGTCATTATAAATATCACGAATACACATAAAATAGTTTTCTGGTTGCAATTTTCTAATTTCAACTATGCATAATGTATGCTTTACACATGCACACATTGAAAGAAATGTTTAATAAAGTAAACAAATAATTTTTTGTTGTTGTTGTAAATTTTGATACCTTTTAGACCATTATTGCTCTTTCATAAATTATGGTTTCATAATTTTTATGTTATAATTTCTGCATGTCATCTTACCAGATTTAAACTGATGATCTGTAATCCGGAAAAACCGATAATCCGGAATCGCCAAAGTCCCGACGAGTCCGGATTAAAGACTTTTGACTGTAATAGCCATTCTCTTCAAAAATAAGAGCTCTTTTTGTGAGAAGTGCAGGCTGGGGTAATTTACATGGCTATTTAAAATTTTATGTTTGCCTTTCATCCAAGATAGGAATTACCTTGCTAGCAAAATATCAAACACTAGTAACTTGTGTCAGAGTTAGTTCAGAAACAAAACCTTAAGTTTGGGATTACAAAATACAAGATCATTCAGTGGCTATAATTTTGATTAAAAACTTATCATAATCTAAAACTTAGTTGCCCAAAAAATGGGTTGAGTTGCTTTTAAATATTAGAAGCCAAATGTTCATTTATGATTGTAAGTTTCAGTTTTGAAAAGACAAGTAATTTATTGGATGTTTACTGCATCAGTTCTTATCTATTTCAAAATTAATTAAATATGTTGGGTCAAATACTGCAAAGAAACAAAGGAGTGCATATTTTATACATGCAGAGAAATCGATCAAATCTCGTAAAAGTCATATTGCTTTTATAAATACACATATTAAGCAGTTTTTCACAGAAATATATCTTCTCGGAAAATTTGAATGGCAGGTTTCTAACCACAAAATGTTACAACGATGTGGAAAGTACTTCAGTACTGCATTTGGTGTAGAGCAATAAATCAGAAGGAGGGTTCACATAAATCTCCTGATAGCCAAGATGCCTCAAAAAATTGCTTTTAATGAAATGATGAAGGAAACTATTGTCTGGATCGAGAGCAGTTAAATAATGCACAATTATGTTTAGTTTTGATGTTTATAATGATTTTTTTTTGTTATTTTTACTTTAATTATGTATGTTTACTTTCAGCATATTGATTATACTGCTATGCCATTTACTGATCACCCAACGGCAGTACCTACTGCATCTCGTAAAAGAATTCAGAAAAGGGTTCGTCGACAACAGAACTGAACAATTCTGTCTCTTTTTGGAAAAAAAATAGAGAGAAATGTTAAATATTCTGTTTCATCTTGTAATCTTCAAACATTCTATTTTTTATGAACATATTCATCACTTGTCTGTTTAAAAAAATAAAATTTGTGCCTGGAAATTTCTTGAGTATTGTCATTTTTAATCTTTTGACATTTCTGTGTAATGAAAAAGTGAGAAGTTACTGTAAGGGTACTGATCAAGAGAATACATTTCTTTGAAAGTATTAATTAATTGTTTATTAATTGTTAATTGTTTGGCCTGTTAACAAGATATTACTGATATTAATCTGAGAATTATGGTATTAAGAAGTGGTTATCTGTGGTTGTAAAATGCATTTTGCTGTCTTCTCCATGTATAATTGTATATCTTTATGATAAAATTTGTATGTCTTTTCTGGAATGTGTAGTACTTAGTAAAGACCAACTATTGTGCCACTGTACTTGCGTTCAGATTATGGATAAAGTATTAAATCTGTTTAGCATCTTTTTTAAGTCTGAGCACTTAAAATAAATCTGGCAATCTAAAAACCCTAGTAAGAAGTTGATGGTAGAGGAACAGAAGTATGAGCTGCTTAGATTTTATCTCTTAGGGTCTGAAACTAAGTGGAGAATAGTTCTGGGCAAAGTCATTCTATCACCAGACTTTTTAAAACTATCCATTATAGGTAAGTAACAACAATAGAGTATTCTGCATTGAAGTAAAAAAAAAAAAAAAAAACACTTAATGTACTTTTACCATTTTGCTGTGTTTTGTTTTTGGATTCTAAAAATGAAATTTAGAACAACAGAAATGTTTCCTGTCTTGAATTTCTAATGTCTGTCCCCCTTCCTTAGAACTGTTAATTATTCTATTTCTGTTTTGTAGTATAAAACAGAATTATGGTGATTTGTGTTTCAGCTGACTGCACAGAAATTTTAAAAACTGTCTGTAATATAAGTAGAATTTAATCATCTCCCATTTTTAGCATGCTGGAATTGTAATTTCTCTTTTATACATGTTGAACAAAATAATTTTCTTTAATTCCATTATGGTGCATGAGGTTTATTTGAAGAAGTATAACATCTCAAAAAAAATGCTTCCTTAAATCATTAATCTCAAAATATATTATTCTTTATTATGTTATATATATGTGTGTGTGTGTAATATTAGCACATTTTCAGTAAAGCATTGATGTAAGAACAGTGAGGTGTAGAACCGAAGAAATACTGATGGCATAGATACTTAGAGCGTCCATCCATTTTGATGAGGAAACAGTCGAACCAAATCAAATTCCATATTTATTTAAATTCAGAATGGTGGCCACAGTTCACTTGGCACTCTACTCATGCCTGTTAAAGAACATTTACAATTTTGATAATATAGCGATAAAAGTGTAATTGCAGCAGCGTCTGAACAGCATGAAAGTGTAAGCCAGAAGAGAGTGAGTGTCACAGTAGTAATGCAGAGGTAGAAGGTGGGAGGCAAAAGTTTCAGTTTTAAGTTTTGGTTTACAATTTGGTGATTGGTCAAGAGACATCTGCATTAAGCACTACGTAAGATCGCATGATTAATTTGAATGACGCAGTTTAGATTTGTAGCTCTATTTTTTTAGACAGAGAAAGGAAGTTCTCAAATTATATAATTAATAACCTAAAATACATTATAGACAATTAAATTTAGAAGTTTGCTTTCATATTTTTTATTTTTACACAGAGAGAGGATTTTCCCCAAATTAAATAAAACTAAAAGAGGTTGTAGACAATTAAATTTAGAAGTATGCTTTCGTATTTTGTATCTTAACATGTATATATGTACTGTAATTAAATTATGTTAAGGCATAAGTGAAGTGATGCCACGATCGAATGACTATTTTTTAACTAGAGTGATCTGGCAACCACGGGTAGAAAACAAAGCAGTGTGGACAGCTAGCAGCCATTGATTGATTATGTGCTCGTAGTTCGAGTTGGTAAGTGTATGTATGTGGATGCTAAGAGTGTCCATCCATGTAAGACTATGTAAGTGCTCATGTGTTTAATATTTGTTAACAGAAGTAAAATAAAAGAAATCTACAGACCATTAAATTCAGTGTTTGTATTTCATGAATAATTGTGTGAGTAAATTCTATTCCCAACCATTTGTGGTCCTAGCGAGCTGGTAGGAAGATTAGTGCCTATGGATATAAAGTGCTGGTTAAAAAGCTTAAAGGTCAATTGTTAAATTGATAAAAAATTGTGATACAGTCAAAAGTCTTTAATCCGGACTCATCGGAACTTTGATTCCGGATTATAGATCATCAGTTTAAATCTGGTAAGATGGCATGCAGAAATTATAAAATTAAAATATGAAACGAATTTATGAAATAAAGAGAGCAATTATGATCTAAAGGGTATCAAAATTTACCAAAAAAACAAGCTTATATTTATTGTTACTTATTAAACATTTCTTTCAACGGGCGCATGGTAACATACTTAAGCTAGTCGAAATTAAAAAATTGCAACCAGAAAAAGATTTATATGTTCATGAGATTATAATACGAGGACTTGATTTAAATCATATCAAACGGGAGTACATCGAGATAAATACTACATTTAGTAAGGAATTATAAGCTAATAAAACAAAATCTGCCTGAAGATAAGGATAGTGCTGAAAGCAACCCGTCTTGCGCGTCGCGATGTCCTCCCCCCCCACACACACACACAGAAGCAGCGTGAAATTGAATAAACAGATTTCGGAATGGTTGAAAAACAGATAGGTCTTTATCTATTTTTGGCAGCTCCAAATTGGAAATTCTTTTTGACATAATCGAAAGTCAGCTACTTTTATAAAATTGCTCTAACTTCTGCAAAAATAATAAGCTGGACCAATTAGAAAATTAGGGGACAACGCAATCTCACATTAACTAAATAGATAATTAGATAATTTTAGCTAGCTGTACCGTTCGTTATACATTAAACGTGCATGCGTAAGCGTATTATGCGCATGCATAAAGGTATTACACGCATGCATAAATGCATTAATGCATTTACGCATGCGCAGGAAGTTTAGCTTTGAGGTCCTGATTATAGATCATTCTGGATTATGGACGTCCGGATTAAAGACTTCTGACTGTATAAACTTCGCATTCATCAAGATAATTAGAAATTTCGGTTTCATTTGGATTACCTCAGACGGAGGTAAGTGAATTTGTTCATATAGTTTCGATATTATTAACATTAGTTATGGAAGCATGTTAATTAAGAAAATAATTTTAAAGTCGAGTATAACGAAAGCAACTTCAGATTTCGAAAAATATACTTGTGAGTTTCAGCTAAACTTTGAAATAATGTGCAAATTTTAATATGAGTGTTCAGATTTTTGATAAATTATTTGAAGTAGTTGATGAAAAAAGAATTTGACAAATATGTAAACTAAACAGCAAATGTTCAAGAGAGCATTGATACTTTATGGTTAGGTAAACAGCAAATTTAGTGTTAAAGATGCAAGAAATGTAAAGATTGGAAATATCAGTGCACAAGGTATGAAATTACCTAAATTAAACTTGCCATCTTTTAGTGGAAATATGCAAGATTGGTTAAGCTTTCGGAATTTTTTCATTTCAAGCATTCATAATAATAATGTATTATCAGATTCCCAAAAGCTCTCGTATTTGAAGTTATCACTTCATGGCGAAGCAGCTAGGATTATTCAATCGGTCATAATTTGTGAAACTATAAAATTACTGGGGATTTTTTAGAAGAGAGATTCTCCAATAAACGTGGTCAGGTTTTCACCCAGATAAAGCGCTTCATGTCAATTTCTCCCATATAAAATGAAAGCTCGTCTTCTATTTTAAAATTAGTAGTAATTTATTAGCTCAGAATGGCTATTAATTTCGTTTTGTGTCAAAACCTTTAAAAGTCTGAATCACTTTTCAAATTGTTGCCACCATATATTATAGCCCTGTATTATATTTAAAGAAATTAAATAATGAAGAATCTGCATAAATGTATATATGTTTCTCGCACTCTGATAAAACAATGACACATAGAGCCATCAAATTGTGAATAAGTCTCCACCCAAATATGGGCATCTGGAATTTACTTTATTATCTATTTCGTATTTTGTAAAGCATTTATGAGTTTTTGTAAGCATTTATGAGTTTATGAGAAACTCAACGATTTCAAAGCGAGCAATGGCAGCACTGTACAGAAAAATAATAATAATAATAATCTCCATCATGCGAGACTGTATCAGAAATTCTAAAGATTTGCTCTTTTTAAATTATTTTGTGATATTGTTCAATTGAATTTTATGGTTTAAGTGCGAAGAACATGATATTTAATAAATAAAGGTAACACACAAAGCATTAAAAAACCGTTTGGGCATAATATAAAATATGAAAAATTTCATTTTTTTCGTCCCATTAATTATCTTTTGAGCTCTTTCACACTCTTCAACAATTATACTTCGGCCATAGGCTTTTAACATTTTTAGAATTCTTCGCACATTAAATTTGGCATTTAAATTCATTCATGCGTATTAAACAAAAACATCCTGGGTAGTATTAATTTATTTTTGTTTAATTTATGTATTGTTATGAATTTTGTATCTGTGTAAATAAATTGAGTTAAATTATATGTAAAATTATAGTATCTCTTGTATAATGTAAGATGCAGCGTTTCAAGAGAGCTTAGCTGCAAAAAAAAAAGGGGGGGTTATGGGAGCAAGCTGTTTTACATTGAGGTAAATGGATATCTCACCAATTTGGTGATGGTTTTAACAAGTAAGTTTTCTCGCAAAGTTTGGTGAGAAATCGCCACATTTTGTTTCGAACCCTGTGTAACTATGTAACTGTAACTGTGTATACCATCCAGTAGTTTCGTGAAATTAAAGGTAGTGGAAATTTCTCGACAGCCAGAGAAAACTATATAAACCCGGAGAAGCATCAGTTTTGTTTTTAGTTCAGAGTATTGAGAGATCACCGTTTAAGCTTTGTTCTTCATTACATTGTGTTTAACACTGTTAGTAGTTTGAAGTGGTAACTACTGATTGTGTTCGACGTACTGAAAAGAGCTGTAGGAATACTGTGAAAAGTTTCAATTGTAAAGTGAAAGAAATAAAAATAAATTTTAGCTAGCTATCATCTGTTCTGTATGCATT